GAGTAGAAGATCACGGTGGAGAAGGCTGTCCAGAGACATAGGGTCCATGGGACCCTGGGAGGTTGAGTCCATGCTCTGTTGGGCATGAGTCCAATCAGACTAGGCACAGTCATGAAGGACAGGGTCCACATGGGCACGGGTCACCTCCTGAGAGATTGTCTTTCCAAGATGTTGTTTGGTCTGGATCCTGTGTGTGGTATGCTGTGTCATCACTGTCCCTGTTCACTGCTCAAACACAAAGGGCTTCCCAGGTAGGAGTCATGGGCCAGGTGCAGGTAACATTGCAGGATTTCCAGTGAATCCCCTGGCAGCTCAAAGGCAAGGTGTCCCAGTGACTGAGGTTCTCATTCAATTCAGGAGCTGAAATGGCTTTGCCTTGTGCTAAGTCAGTCTCCTGCAAGAGCCTATGATGCTCAGAGTATGGTCTCTGAAGTGAGCTGGAATCATCCTTCTGAGGAGGAAACCGTAGTGCTGAAAACTAAGATGCCTCTGAAGACCAGGAACTGCCTGCTCTTCCCCAACCTATCCAGGATGAGGAGTTAAAGGGCTTTCCTGATGCAGAGTCTGAGAGGAACCTCTGTGGGAGAATTGTGATAACTAATCCTATATTTGTGTTTTATTGTTTGAGTGTGTGAGATTTCAGCCTATTCTCACATGCACACAGGATTATTAACACAAAATATTTCAAGAGAGACTTGGCTCATGTTTGACCTGTGCCCTAAGTGAAATCTGAGTTTTGGGTGACCTGTTGTGTCCATGCTAGGGTGAGTTGTACATTGCCCAAACACAAGGCAGCCCTGTACATAAAGTAGGCTTTGAGTTGGGGGAAAACCTTGCAGGAATGTAAATGAAGAAGCCACTGATGGAGAGGAGGGGGAGAATGGCTCTACATTTCCTCCTTAAGCCTGATCTGCTTGACAATGAGGTCATGACAATCTATCTACCAGCTTGGGTAAGCCATGTTTTCCCTAGGATGATGTAATGCTGTGTGATCATCCATGCTCACACAAGTTGGGACCCTGATCTCTGAGCCCCACTGTGGATTTGTAAGTACCAAGCTCACTGAGTGCTATTCGTTATCTGATACCACAGCACAAGGAGGACCAAATGGAGGGTGGGACAGGAGTTCCCTGAGCCTACAGCCTCCCCACAGTTGCTAACCCCCACATCCCATGGTGCTGCCTTCAAGGGTGCAACCTGGGGCTCTTATCCCTCCCCTTCCTCCTGCCCGGACTCTACAGCCAAAGACTGCCTTGTGCACCCAGGACTGTGAGCCAAGCGCAGCACCACCCAGAACTCAGCATCCATCAAACCCATGTGGAGGTCAAGCTTCCTCATCCTCTGAGCCCACAGAGCACCTGGAGCAAGGACCTCGGCTTCTCCTGAGCAGGTTTCCTCCACGATGATGTTGCTTCTTCTCAAAATAGCTCTAGATGAATCTGCACAAGGTGGGACCATGGTCCTATCTCCAGAGTCCCTTTGCATTACCCAGGCTCCTGTGACTCCATCAGTGACCCCAGATGTATGGGTATGAGTCACACTCAAGACCTCACTACTGGAGGCTATATTTTCTGAAACTCTTCTGTAATAACACCTTAATTCTTGGTTGGCATGTCCAGTTCACTTTCTTGGAATTATCTCGTAAAGTTTCACAATGATGAAGTGTTCTCTGCATTTGAGCTATCAAAAAGGGCACTGCCGAGCCATGAATACCATTTACACTAAAATTAGAATAAAGAATAAAAACTTCATCACATTGCCCACACTTGCTGGAACTCAAAAGCTGACAGGGCATGGGGAGTGGAAGCTGTGATGCAGAAATGTAAGAATTCAGCCCTGTTCCCTTGTAACTTTCTCCCTACTCTAGGTCAATGGTGCGAACTGAGATTCATAGGTCCTTTTTGTCAGAAGCCCCACAGAGAGCCTTGCAGAAACTCACAGACTATAATATGTTATGATGATGGCAAATTACTTGGACTCCTGGCATCAGATAGCAAACAAAATCTCTCCTGCACTGTCTCACACCTTCTGCCCTCCTGGAAATTGCTGGGATAGAGACTTTGCCCCAGCACTGAGACTGTAAACTTATCCTGAGTCCAGTTTCTGTGAACAGGGAGCCATCAAATCTCTCTTCACTCTGTGTGCTCTGGAAGTGGGTCCTTTGAGACCACCCCAGGCTCCCTTCATCCATCTTCTTCCCTAGAATCAGTGTCTGTGCAGAACAAGCCCTGGACCACTACTCTGAACTTGGGGCTCCCTAACTGTTGGAATTAGCACACAGTGTTGCTTCCTATGGAATTCCCCATACTTCTTCAGCACTCAGTGTGGACACAGTTTCCCTTCATCTCTCAGGCCTAGTTAAGAGAGTCTGTGCTCCCCATGGTATCTGTGGCCTGTGGTGCATAATTCCCTGTTTAGTACCTGATCTCCCTGGACTCTCATACGTGAAACATCAGTGCTCTAAGGCCCAGGTGATTCCCATTCATCTCTCTAAGCCAGGTGTCCTCCAAGAATCCTGTCCACATGAGTGTTCAACACCACCTGACAGGGAATTGTGCTGTTGTGTACCCCCGAGAGAGGCAAACTCTATTAACCCCAGGACCCTCTAATGTGACCCAGTCACTCTTTTCTCCCTGACACAGTAGGGAGATGTTGCTTCTTCCGCTGATTGAGGCCTGTCCCGCAGGGACACAGGCTGTTCAGTAGGTGAGTGGAGTCCACACGCACTGTTAGCCTTCTGTGTGCAGGTCGGCCACCCATGCTGCACGACACACATGGTCCAAGCTGAAGAGGACAGGGCAAGTAGGGACAGAGAGACATCCACAACCTTTCTCTCCCCGGACCCTGCATGGAGCTGGGCCTGATGCGGCTCACCTGGTGCAAAGAGGAATTCTACACCAGCAGCCAACACTCTCAGTTTTGTATTACAACACAGCCAAACTCTCAGAGGTACATGTTGTGTATTATCTTCCTCAAGAGTGATTGACAACAGTTTGCAAATCAGACCTTAAAAAGGTTTGACACTTTGTGGTCATCATTTTCACTGTATAGTCTTGTGTAACTACCAACAATTTTATGTGGGGGAAAACCTGTTAACCAACTTTCCAGGGGTAGAGGTTTTGCAGCTGTTATCTTGCTCCCTGTAAGAAATGATCAGCTGACCTAAAGATACAGTGGTCAAATCTATTTGAGTAGAGCAACTATCTTACTGTGTGTTCCAGTGTTCTCTGTTGGCTCTTTCTTCTGAGTTTTGTAGCATACAGATTTGATCCTATGTAAGGTTTTTTCATAGATTTTCTGTGTTACTTTAAGTTCCTGGGAGAAAAGAGATGTTAAAACTTTAGTATGCAAAAAGGACAGCAACTCTCTCAAACTATTAAAGACCGTCCCTTTCTTCGCCTGTCTTCTCTTGAGCATCACATTCACTGTCTCCACTTGTCTCCATGTTCTGATGCTCTAAGCTCTCTCCAGAACCCCAGGTAAATAACTCATCTCCCAGCACTCTAAGCTGTCTCTTGCCTGCTGCTCCCGACTTTTCCAAATTGCACTCCTAGACCAATTCTACAGCTACTCCCAGTAGTGTCTATAGCTCATGTGACTCGGGACCATTCTTGATCCATCCACAGGAGATGCTGCTCCTACTTTGCTCTGGTCACACTGTTCTGGTCAGAGGTCACCTCTCTCTGTACCTATGGACAATGTGGAGACTCAGAATTGAATACAGTGATCATGGGCCCAGTGTGTTCCTGCACTTCTAGACGTGAGGACTCTGAGCCTCCTGTCAGGGGAACACTCAGTATGCTCACCCCAGGTGCACAAGAGGTGTCACAGTAATGACCTCCTTTCAGCTCAGTCCTTGTCTTTGTAAGCAGCATGTTCTTTCAGCATTGTCACCTTTCGTGGTGCTTTCTTCACTCAGGACAAGGAGGGGCTCACTGCTCCCAAGGTGCTGTCACCTAAACAGTGTTGTTCTGCATTCCATGGTGAAGCCCTGCAGCCCTTCTCCTTCTCCTTGGTCCAACACAGGGCACTGGGTAGGCAGAGCCTCTGTAGGCCCAGCTGAGCACTCAGCACTGGAAGGAGCACATCAGGGAACAGCAGGAGCAGATGCTGTCCCTGAGTGTGCACAGCACTGACTGTCACTGTCTTCACACATAGGTGAACATCCCGATGGTAAAGCACACACAGAAAACAAAAAAGTGCACGTGGAGGTTGGCCTGCCCCCTTCTATTCACGCATGGCCACACTCTATTTGAGAAGAGCCCAGACCCCTGGGACACTGAAGTCCAGCTGAGCTGTCAGCCCACTGCACAGGTGTGGTGAAAGCTGCAGTAACTTGCTCCGGAGCAGGGCCAGGAGTCGTCCTTCAGGTCCTTAAAAGGAAAGCCATGAACATCGGAAATGGGAATCAGAGCGCAGGAAGCAGCACACATTTATTTCAGCTACTGGGTCAGTCAGTGCGTGATTACTACAGTGAAATCCTGGAGACAGTCACTATAGAAAGAGGAAAACCTGATGAGGGAAGAGATCCCCTCCATCTCCTGTTCCTGCAGGATGAGTGATCAGACACTGAGTCTCCTCTGAAGATCTCCCCCTCAGCACACAGGCTACATTCTCCTCTAGACCATGAGGTATTTCTGGATGAGGTATTTCTGGAGTCTGGGAAAACTCTTTTAAGTAAACATGCATTTAAATTGGCCTAGGCGTGTCAGTAGAGAGGAGGCTATCAGAAAGTGAGTATCCTGGTTGGAGTCCTGCTTCTGAGGCCATGAAAGACAGAGTTCAGGTGCTTCCTTTAATGAGTGGGCTCTTGCTATGTGGGAAGTTCTGAGACTAAGAGATAAATAAGAACTAGGCTGATATATCTCCACAGAGCTTTGGATCCTGAGACTGCAGAAGCCAGAGCCTGGCCGAGGGAGGAGCTCTCTGTCCCCATTGGGTGGGTCCACAGAGGTGGGGACAAGAGGCTAAAGAATCTCATTTTACACTTCCGTTCATCTGCATGTCCTGCAGTACTGAGGTCTCCTCTGGCAGAGGCATGCTGTCAGAGTAGGCAAAATGAAGCGCACCATACCTGTTCTGCTCTACCTAGGTAAGGGCTGGGAGGAGAAAGACACCAGGCTGGGATAGAGAGAGGGATCTTGTGAGGTATCAGACAGAACCTCTGACAGGACAGGAAACTCTCTTCCAGGGCTGAGACTGCACATGGCACAGCAAGGACCCTCAGGTGAGTCCTACCCAGCACTCTGTGTCCTAGCCCAGCCTCAGCTCCTGGCCTTCAGCGGGTTAAACAGAGGCTTAGGCTGAGGTTTAGTAAGAGGGAAAGGCCTTGGAATTATCTAGGGGACAAAGAGGTCCTAGATCCAGGCTCTGATTTCCTTGCAGGGACCCTCCCAAAACCCTCTCTCTGGGCCATTCCAGGCTCTGTGATCCCAAGGGGACGTAATGTAAGCCTATGGTGTCAAGGGATCCAGGGTATCCAGAGTTACCGTCTGAACAGAGAAGGAAGATCAAAGTTCTTGGGAAAACCAAATCTACATGGAAACAAGGCCAAGTTCTCCATCCTATCTATGACAAGAGATGATGCAGGGCGATACCGCTGTTACTATCTCAGTGGTGCTGACTGGTCAGAGCCCAGTGAAGCCCTGGAGCTGGTGGTGACAGGTGAGAGGACACACAGGCTCCAAGCCCAAGCTTCTGGCAGGAGGAAGAAGTCTTACTCTCAGGAGTGTCCCCTCCTCACAGTGCCGTCTTGGGGACACTGTGGGAGGTGTGGGACCATTTCACATGCTACCTCCTTCTCTCCTAGGAGTCTATAGCAAACCCAGCCTCTCAGCCCTGCCCAGCACTGTGGTGACATCAGGAGCCAATGTATCCCTCCAATGTGCCACAGAACAACAATGTGACAGGTTCATTCTGACTAAGGAAGGAGAAGCCAACATCTCTTGGAACCTTGAATCCCGACGTCTTCCCAATGGACAGTTCCAGGCCCTGTTCCCAGTGGGACCAGTGATTCTTGGTCCCAGGTTATCATTTAGATGCTACAGCTATGACAAGGAAAGTCCCCATGTGTGGTCCATACCCAGTGACCCCCTGGAGGTTGTGGTCTCAGGTAGGAAGACCTATACCTGTCCTCTCTCTGCTTAAAATGTCACTCAGGCCCTTAAACCAGGGGCCATTTTTTTGCAGTTGGAGTAAGGATTATTTGGGGATTCCAGTCAGGGAGAGTCCTTCCTCTAAGACAACAGGGCTCCTTCAAGGCGAGCTCACTCCAGCCATTTGATTTGAATTTAAAAATTGCCACATGGTCAGGGGAGGGTTTTTGAGCAGCCTCGGAGTTCATTTTGGACAGTGAGCAGTGGCAGGGTGCTCAGGGACAGGCTTGGACATTACATTTTCATATTTTGATTGGCAGAATCATCTACTCCCAGTCCCCCATGCTCAGGGCACATCACCACACCAGGATGCACTGGGGGTCCCATCTCCCCACCCACTTCTCTCGGCTCCACAGCAGGTGAGTCTTGGGCTCCATCCCAAAGATCCTATGTCCAGGCTGCCTGGAGATTCTCTGCCCTTCTCGGCACTTCTCACAGCCTCAACTCCTTTTGTGTCCAGAGACCTGAGCTTCAAATGGTGTGGACAGGACCAGGCAAGAGGGTCTCCTCTCTGGTCATTGATTTTCTTATCTGTATATTTCCAGGGTGGGGACAGCAGTGCCATGTTGCTGGATTCTGAGAGTTTGAGGAGATGGGTGTAGCCACACAAAGAATAGGGTTATCAGTTAAACAAATCACTTCATAATCTAGATGCCACTCATGGCCATGGTCTGGGAAGGAACCTGGAAGTTGTGATTAGGATCTCAGTGGCTTTTCCCCTCCTGCTCACCATTGTTGTGCTCTTGCGACTCCAGCATCAGGGCTACTGCAAGAAGGCAGGTGAGAAAGGAGAGGGTGACCTGGGCTGCACCTAGGGAGGGATCAGAACCTGGGCTTAGTACCCCAAAAGCTCGAGGATCCCATGTCTGACACCAATGATGAGAAGTCTTAGTAGATGCAATGAGGACTCCACGTGGGTGTCACAGGGCTGCCTCCTTCCCATCACCAGGACCCAGCTCTGCTGACACCTGCCCAGAGGACTCCCACAGCCACCAGGTAAATCATCTTCCTTCCACCCCTTGACTCTCACCCCAATTCTCCCTCACCAAAAGATTTCCTTGTTTAAATCTATGCCCCTTGATTTCAAGGCCCTGAGCTCCTGAGGGCACGGACCCTCTTCTGTGTCTTCACTGTGTACTCACCAAGCTCCTTGCAGGCTGCTGCCCAGGGAGTGAGGAATGGTGTACTACATCCCGACCTGTTCGTGCAGTTTCCATCAGCAGCCACACAGGGAGCATTGCCTCTTTTAAGGTTCACTGTCTGTGAGGCTAGGAGTGTGGCTGACGCCCACCAAGACCCAGAAGTCTGTGTCCCCAGAGCAGGGGACAGACAGAGCACTGACCAGGCACAAAGACCTAGGCAGTGCACAGCACTGTGTGCCCCACATGGCAGGGAAGGGCCAGTGCCTATGTGAAGAGAAGGAAAGGCTCTAGGGAACAGTGCAGAGAGGACCCTATGGCTACCTGTGTGTCAGCAGAGACCTGAATACAGGACTTGCCTGTGACTCTCCCAGGGAGAAGCATTCCTGCCACAGAACAAGAACTGTGAGATCAAATGGGGACACAACACCTTGTCCAGGAGCAGTCTGAGGCCCAGTGTCACTTGAGCTTATGCATAAAGTACAGATTCAGAGCTCAAAGGGCTCAGTACCGTAGTTCTCTGGGCTCTAATGGGGTTTGTGAAGCTAATGAAGTTTGTTCAGTGAGTGTCCAAGCTGACTGCTGTCACAGTACTCACTCTGGAGCTCCTGTGGGACCCAGTGATGGTGCAGAGCAGAGTCAAGGTGCAGCCTTTGTCACTGTCTCCCTGCTGCAGAGCCCTGAGCTTGAGGACCCCAGGAAGTGACCTACACTCGGGGGCAGCCCTCCAGGCAGGATGTGGTGAGGTCACCCCTGCTTCTCCAATGTCAAAACCATTCGAGGGCCCGAGTGACAGAGCCACAGGAGAGATGCAGAGGGACAGGAAGTTGAGTCCAGTCTACTGCAGGTCCCCCGAATTTCCCAGAATATACCCTCATTCCAGTACCCACCCTCTCTCCCTCCAGGCAGCTGACTCTGAAGGCAACCAGGGAGTCTATGCCCAGCTGAACAGCTTCAAGCTCAGAGGGGAGCCAACCACAACCTCTTCCTACCAGCAAAAGAAGTTCCCAGCTGTAAGCAGTGCGTATGCCCATCTGGGTGTCCATCAGCACAAGAGAGACCTCAGAACCCACAGTCCAAGAATTGGCTCCTAGGGACCTCAGGAGGGAAAACAGTTTCCCCATGAACCTTCAGCTAAGGACTATGGTCAGCCTAGCGGCCTGACGTGGGACCTGAGATGTTCTAGAAGTTGCCTGATCATGAAATCCAAGATAGCTACATTAACACATCTGAACATTTAACAAGTAAGTTTCTAAAATAACTAAGACTCAGCAAAGGACATCACAAACCCATCAGATTTATCCTAAGATTAAAAACATGCATCAAGGTCATGAAGTATGTGTACTTCAGAGTAAAGGAAAACCTTAAATAAACTGAAATGGAGAAACAAACAATTCAATGATTGCTAGGTGCAACAAAATGACATTAATATTGACAAGGTGTGAAAGTAGGAAATAATGACCATAGCAACAAATAGTAATTTAAATTAAAACAATATAAATATAAACTTAACTTGAAAGTCTAATAAAGTTGATGATACCCTGAGAACATTTCAAAGGAAAACAATATTCACACAAGAAATACAGAAGGAAAGTGTCTCAACTTGTGCAGCTGGGGACATGATGGTCCCACCAGAAACTCTCCCTCATTTTTCATTAGAGGAAAATGGCAGCACAGGACCCCTGGGTTAATCAGCAGCAAACAACACACCCTGGAGTCTAAAAGTATGAGCAAGGTGGGGTTGCCTCAAGAATCAGGACTGGGTGAGTCATTTAGATCATCAGTGTATTTTACTGCACTTACAGAAAAAAGGATAAATGTGTTCACCTGAGCAGAGGAAGAACACATTCTTTGGAAAGCCAGCAGGTGTTCACAATTTCAAATATTAGGAAAAGTGCTCAATTTAATTGGATGGAAACTTACACAGCACCTGGAAGAAGCCTCCTACTTACAAAGGAACTTGGTATCTTTACCCCAAGAATTAAGAAGGAGAGTAGATGCTTTGTTGCTGGGCTCATGTTCAACATTTCTCTGGAGGTCTAGGCAAGGATTGAAGGCAAGATGATGACAGCAAACAGAAATGACCATGAGGACAGAGAAAGCTGAAGGATGGGCTGTGACTCTTCAGAAATTGTCAGAGTCATCATGTGAAAGGAGCTTGATTCTGCTCCTATAAAACAGAAATTCATTAGGAGGAAGATAATAAACATATCAAAATAAAAACTTTTTTTGTCTTTTTCCTTTTTCCTTTTTTTATCGGTACCAGGGATCGAACTCATGACTGCCTGCTTGCAAGGCAGGCACTTATGCCGCTGAGCTAAATCCCCAGCCCCCAAAATAAAAACTTTTTCAAAATGAAAATTAATGTCTCCAGATATTTGTGGATCCCAGGAAAAACAGATAGACCTGATCAACAGGGGGACCAAAGGAGCCTTCAGCCTGTGCTCCCAGGAAGTCCCAGGTTGAGAACTCACACAGGGTGACAGGGTTAGGATGTGTTTCCAGGTGGGAGGGAGATTCTTGGGAAGGATAAGGAGGACAGAGAGGAAAGTAGGACACAGACAAGGAAGCACACAAGGCCACACCCAGGAGGTGACCTAGGACAGTCTCTCAAGAGATGGACAAAGGGACAGTTCCCAGTGGGGTCATCAGCAGGGTCCCGAGTGTAAAAGGTGGAGGGGTCAGGATGGGGCTTCTTTTCCTGAGCAGGGTTCCAGAAGCCTCCCCTACTCCCAGGAGTCAGGACAAGGCAAACTGAGGTAGGCCTTGGTGGGGTGGCTGTGAGGGACAGACCCTAGAAAGTATGCCCAGTGTGCATTGGCTCATGGTATCCTAGGAAGAGCAACCTGAGAAAGCTTTCTCTTCATGCCTTGGCTTTGTATTCTACCTTGGCAAGTTACCAGGATGTGACCTCTAGGACACCTTCATTTATAATCTCAGGGAGATTCTGTGATGTCCCCAGGCTTGATGGGAAACAGTGGGAGAGAGAAGGGGCATTTTGGTGAGTTGGTGACAAGCCACAAAGTTTTCTTTCAGCCACCTTCATTCCACATTTTCCAGAGAGTCTGAGGCTGCAGCCCCTCCCCAAAGCTGCAGTTCCTGAGCTCTGTCAGACACAGGCAGGAGGCTGCTCAGCCTTACTGGGGTCTGACTGAGGGTGAGGCTGAGCCCCCAGCACAGCTGGGGAAACACCAGGCTTCGGGCACCCCGGGGCATGGCCCTCCTGAGTCCCCTGGGCCTCTGTGCTCTGTCCTCACCTGCGACTAGAAAAGGACCAGCGCTACTCCCTGGGTCACCGGGGTCTCTACCCAGCAGGTCTGGAGTGCAGTGCTGCTTAGTTCTGTTAAGCATTTGGGTTTCATACTTGTGTATTGCATTGTCTTTTTCTGTAAAAATAACAATTTTCTATGAAAATTCACGTACATGAATTTGTACATAAAAACGTACATAATAAAACTGTTGAATACTAATAAGTGAACTTCAGCAAAATTTTTGAAGTTTCATTAATTGGAATTGTGTATATACACAGAAAATTTGTAATATGATCCACTATTTTAAAAATTTGTGATAATATTCTTGATGATTTTATGTTTTCAGAATAATATTTTTATTAAAGGAAGCTATTGGTTTGTATACATTAATTTATTTTATATTACCTTAAGATTTCTTCCAATAACTTTTTAATAATCTATGATCATTGATAAAAGACATGTCAAGAAAAATTGATTTCACAACTGAATATCCACTAGTTATTATTATACAATATTGATATTTTATTATATCTAGATCTACTTAATTCATATCCAAGGATATTTATCTTTACTGTCTCTCTGTCTCTGTCTCTGTCTCTGTCTCTGTCTCTGTCTCTGTCTCTGTCTAGTACACTAGAGTAAGAACTTAACCCAGAAAACATGAAAGATCATTTGTTCAGGAAAATAACATAGGCAAAACACAGGAGTCAGGAAATTACATGGGATGAATGTCCTGGGAGCACACATATAATGATTGTGCTTACAGTGTGTGTGTTATATGTTTGCATTTTTTTTCACTTTCATCCATATCCTTTACTTATTCTGCTTGTATCTTTTTACATATTTACTATAGGTCATTCTACATGGATTTATATATGTGTAAACCAGATGCACTGATTTTAGGAAAGCCTGACATTTCCACCTTGTGAAATACAGACATGTGTATGTGCCTGTGTGTGTTATCCTGCACGTGTTTGAAACCATGACATGATTATTTAAGATGAGGTTCCAAGGACAAGGGGATTTAGGGGCCGTGGCAAGGTCACAGGCCCAGAAGTTCACCCTCCATGAACTTGAGCTTCAGGATCCCTGAGGGTCAGAGCTTCATGCTTGGACTCTGGTCCTCAGTCAGTGAATGAGGGCAAACTCACCTCAAGGGGAATCCCTGTACATTGGGCTGTGTTCCAGATAAATCAAGAGCTCACAGTGCTCGCTAATTTCCACACTGGGAATCATGTTTGTTTCCAGTTCTGAGCTCTCTGAACTCAGACAGCCTTGGTTCCTTAGGGACTTAAACCCAAATGCAAAATTCACAGAGCTCAGTGAGGATGCAGAAACCACTAGGGAGATGAGAGGAAAGCCTAATCCAACAGTGAAAGGCCTCCTGTGAATTTCATGAAGTCATGTCATGATGGTAAGATAGAAGTTTGCAAAGCCCAGAGAAAAGGCTCTGGTCCTGTAATGATTCACACATTTTGTTCTTCTTTGATTCTCCAGAGCGATAGAGATCTTCAGCCCATCACAAACCTGATCAGACTCCAAAACTGGTGAGCAAGAGAATTCACAATTATGGAGTTAGATTCAAAGGTCTTTGGAGAAGGCAAGTACACTAGCTGGATATTCAGGAATGCTGGGGTGATTGTAGTTTTTTTTTTTTTTTTTTTTTTTTTTTTTTTTTTTTTTTTTTGTCCTGTTTGTCACTAATCCTGGCTTCAAACCCCAGCATCACATAGTGGACAGTCTCATATGGATAGGCCTGGTTGACCTGGTCCTGGTGATCCTCAGGACCCCACTATTCTACACTCAGCACAGCCAGAGAAGTATCCACGTGCAGTCAGGAGCTGAAATTGTGAGAGGGAAACTCAATGAGCACTCACTGGTGGAGACATGGAAATAAATATGTCTTCCTTGAATGTGGTTTGAGTTTCATTATGCATGGTGTTATCACCCATTTTCAACCTATTCAGCCCAATAGTTGAGGGTTTTCATAATGTCCAACACTCTCATGGGAGGTGATCTCCACTATCACACAGAGAGGACAAAAGAACTACACTACTATTTCTGATAAAAGACTGTTATTAGCCCCAAGTAAAAAAAAGAATGAATAGAGATAATCATGCCACCATTAACAATATAAAGGAAATCATTGAACATAATAGAGCTTAAGCTGCTCAGATATTGACATGCCGTAAGTATGAGAAAAGGCTATAGCTATACCACTCTAACCCCTAGAAAAATGATCCACCATAGCAATAGAGATACAAAGACAGGGCAAATTTTGACATCAGCACACGTCTAGTCAAAGCATCAGCTCTAACATCATTAACAGTAGAAAAGTATTCAGCAATAGGATCCTAGAATAAACTAGAGAGATAAAAATTTAAAAAGCATTATAAGTAATAAAAATAGGTATGAAAGGGGTGGTGAAAGGAAAACAGAAAGAAAGAAAATTTTTAAATATTGACAAGGGAGAGAAGGGGAAATTGGAAATGTAAGGTAAAATATCCAATTGAAGAATAAAATAAATTACTAGAATTAGAATAAAATTACCAAATAAAAGTCAAAAAGAAAAGAGAGATGAATAAAGCAAAGAAGAACAATAAAGCAAGAAAGCAAACAAACAGAAAACCCTAAAACAAAATAGAGAAAAAGATCGAAAAATTCTCCTTTGTGTTTGGGTGAGTGGTTTCTTCCCGAGCTCTGTAAATTGGAATACACCAGATACTGGGGGAGCAGTGAGTCATAGCAAGAGCTTATTCCATTTCAACCCACTTCTTCTGTGTGTGTACGCTGATTCCTGCCTCACAGTACTGTTAGGGAGCCGAGTTAGATAAAAATGTCATAGGCAATCAGGTAGATTTGGGCCTCACAGAAACCAGGGCAGAAGACCAACTGTGGGCGAGGCAGACACCTCCCACTGTGGCAGGACCTCAAGACAAAAGATCAAACACATGTGCCCACATCCTAAGCATAAAGCATCAGGGATTGATATCCTAAATAGGTCTCTATCACCCTGAGGAAGCCAGAAGGAGCCATTAACCTAACCACCTACAGGCACAGAGCCCCTGCTCTATATTCATATATGATTGCTATATGACTTGCTTCCCCACTTGTCCCCAGTTTAATCAATCTTAGCTGAGCAATTATGCTCATAATCTTATTGGTTGCCATAGTTCTTTTTTACCAGGGATCGAACTCACAACCACGCGCTTGCAAGGCAGGCGCTTATGCTGTGGAGCTATATCCCCTGCCCCGGTTGGCCATAGTTCTATCCCACCTCATGCACATTTTGTGAGTTTCCAGTTTTCCCCACCTTGGACCTGCCTACGTTTGTGGTTTTTGTTCTATAAAATCCCTAGAAAATTCAGGGTCCTCCACAATCCACTTGGGAAAACTATTGTCTCTGAGAGAGAAGCTTTGTTTCTCTCAGTAAACATATTCTACACTAAGCTTCCTTTGTTCTTAAAATTCATTCTGTGACTTTAGAGAACACAAACTCATACCAGACCTCTAGTAAGTTGGGTTTCTTTCCACTCTGTCACTTCCTACAGGACAGTGTCAATCAATGATGTGGTGTCTCCGTTTATGACGCTGTTCATTCCAGCTGCTCTTAGTGTTTGTGGCCCTCTGTGCCCCAAGTGCCTACTAACTTCTACTAGCTTCATGGCCACTGGCCTTGTGAAACCCCCTTGCCACAGAGCTCTCTCTGTCCATACACCCCAGTGTGTGGCAACTGTCTAAGCTGAAGCATGTCCTTAATCACACTGGCAAATGGGAAACATAGAGATCTCTGAGGTCTGTGTCTTCTGAGGCATCAAGGGGTTGGATTAGGCAGGCAACAGGACTTAATGCCAGCACTTTCACATCCAAGCCTCCTAGAAACTCACAAGCAAACAGCCTGGCTTACTGCCAGAGACATAGTCTACTATGTCCTGCCTGCCTGACCTGAGCTCATCCTTGCTTAACCTTTTCAGGAAGTCTGTGGCTGTGATTGTCTCTTGTGCTTCTCCCACCCAGCACCTATGGTGGGTGTGATCCAGAAACCCTGAATGTGGTGACACTGTGACTTCTCCTTCCTGC